AACAAACGTGATTCCTATTATAAACGTGATCCCTATTACAAACTTGATCCCTATTACNATACTGATTATGCAACATTACACTTTTGATAGAGACCAGAGAAATATTTCCGCCTAACCTTTTACAGGTAGACGATAAATCATGTATACCGTTCACAACCAGAGCGAGCGTTATTTGAATAGAATCAAAGATAAGGTCATATCATTTATTTTTACATTATTAGTCTGACCATTACATTAGATGCTTGACCGGTGATAACCTGACAACCCTAAAATGTTGGCAAACCACTAGGCAAGGGTCTTCTTATAGCGTATTATGGACATATACATTTGACATACCTGCAGCTTTTTGTATACTATGCAATAGAATGTGTGTTGATGCGTGTTGTGTTGTATGTGCTTGCGTATCGGGACCTTTTTAGACAAGTAACCCCTGTCTCTGTTGTGTAGCACCGGACGCAATGTCGAAACCGGAAGGACCTAAACTTGGGTTTCCCTAATTCCACGTAGGAGGAAATATTCTTGTAATTGTTCGAAGACATGTTGACAGCATGACCTAAGGCGTTGGGAAGGAGGTAAGTATCAGATTGACAGTATTTAAAGATTGCTGTCTAAAGTGGCTATAGAAAGACTCGCTGTATGTTATAATTTGTAGGAAATGTTTGATTGTGATTGGACATACGCCTACTGAATAGTTGATTAAGCTTGAGTGAAATGTTATTAATATATGATATTTAATACTTTCCCAATGAATGTCAAATATATTTAAAACGTTTATTTATTTTTAGATATTTAAGGTAACGCATTTTTTTTTTACAACAAGCCATATAACCAACTGCGTGAATATAACCAATACAGTATGTCATAAATATGAAATGTTTCCTATATCAGTTTAATTGATTCAATTAGCGTTTCAAATAGCATATGCCTGAAGAATCCTTATGTGTAGGTGGCGCTATTATTTTATCGATGGTTTCTATGGAGATAATGATATATGACTCATTAAATAAAGTTCCTTCCTCCTTCAATCTGCAATTGTTATAAAATTGTTACTGCTGTATATATGATAGCCGATAGCAGCCATCATACATTTCGATATGTTATTTTTTCGGTCACTTTTGTAATCAATATCGTACCATGCGAAACCTTATTTGTGTTATACGCTTTATTTATGTAATACGATTTTGAAAATTTATAATCAACAGTGTTCCATGGTAAATGTTTTCGTGATCCCTATTATATACGTGATCTCTATTATAAACGTAATCCCTGTTATAAACGTGATCCCTATTACAAACGTGATCCTTGTTATAAACGTGATCCCTATTATAAACGTGATCCCTATTATAAACATGATCCCTATTACAAACGTGATCCCTATTTTAAAACGTGATCCCTATTATAAACGTGATCCCTATTATATACGTGATCCCTATTATATTCGTGATCCCTGTAATAAACGTAATCCCTATTATAAACGTGATCCCTATTATTAATGTGATCCCTATTATATACGTGATCCATATTATATACGTGATCCCTTTTATATACGTGATCCCTATTATATACGTGATCCCTGTTATATTCGTGATCCCTATTATATACGTGATCCCTATTATAAACGTGATCCCTATTATATACGTGATCCCTATTATATTCGTGATCCCTGTAATAAACGTAATCCCTATTATAAACGTGATCCCTATTATTAATGTGATCCCTATTATATACGTGATCCATATTATATACGTGATCCCTTTTATATACGTGATCCCTATTATATACGTGATCCCTGTTATAAACGTTATTCCTATTATAAACGTGATTCCTATTATATACGTGATCCCTATTATAAACGTGATCCCTATTATATACGTGTTCCTAATTATATACGTGATCCCTATTATATACGTGATCCCTATTATAAACGTGATCCCTATTTAATACGTGATCCCTATTATATACGTGATCCCTATTATATACGTGATCCCTATTATTTACGTGATCCCTATTATATACGTGATCCCTATTATATTAGTGATCCCTATTATTAACGTGATCCTCATTATATACGTGAACCCTATTATAAACGTGATCCCTATTATATACGTGATCCCTATTATACACGTGATCCCTATTATATACGTGATCCATGTTATATACGTGATCCCTATTATACACGTGATCCCTATTATATACGTGATCCCTATTATATACGTGATCCCTATTATTAACGTGATCCCTATTATAAACGTGATCCCTATTATATACGTGATCCCTATTATTTACGTGATCCCTATTATATACGTGATCCCTATTATATTAGTGATCCCTATTATTAACGTGATCCTCATTATATACGTGAACCCTATTATAAACGTGATCCCTATTATATACGTGATCCCTATTATACACGTGATCCCTATTATATACGTGATCCATGTTATATACGTGATCCCTATTATACACGTGATCCCTATTATATACGTGATCCCTATTATATACGTGATCCCTATTATTAACGTGATCCCTATTATAAACGTGATCCCTATTATATACGTGATCCCTATTATTTACGTGATCCCTATTATATACGTGATCCCTATTATATTAGTGATCCCTATTATTAACGTGATCCTCATTATATACGTGAACCCTATTATAAACGTGATCCCTATTATATACGTGATCCCTATTATACACGTGATCCCTATTATATACGTGATCCATGTTATATACGTGATCCCTATTATACACGTGATCCCTATTATATACGTGATCCCTATTATATACGTGATCCCTATTATTAACGTGATCCCTATTATAAACGTGATCCCTATTATACACGTGATCCCTATTATATACGTGATCCCTATTATATACGTGATCCCTATTGTATACATAATCCCTATTATATACGTGATCCCTATTATATACGTGATCCTTATTATATACGTGATCCCTATTATAAACGTGATCCCTATTATAAACGTGATCCCTATTACAAACGTGATTCCTATTATAAACGTGATCTCTATTATATACGTGTTCCCTATTATATTCGTGATCCCTATTATATACGTGATCCTTGTAATATTCGTGATCCCTGTTATATACGTGATCCCTATTATAAATGTGATCCCTATTATATACGTGACCCCTATTATAAACGTGATCCCTATTATACACGTGATCCCTTTTATATACGTGATCCCTATTATATACGTAATCCCTATAATATACGTGATCCCTATTATATACGTAATCCCTATTATATACGTGATCCCTATTATCAACGTGATCCCTATTATATACGTGAACCCTATTATATACGTGATCACTATTATATACGTGACCCCTGTTATTAACGTGATCCCTGTTATAAAAATGATCCCTATTATATACGTGATCCCTATTATCAACGTGATCCCTATTATATACGTGAACCCTATTATATACGTGATCACTATTATATACGTGATCCCTGTTATTAACGTGATCCCTGTTATAAACATGATCCCTATTATATACGTGATCCCTATTATAAACGTGATCTCTATTATATACGTGTTCCCTATTATATTCGTGATCCCTATTATATACGTGATCCTTATTATATACGTGATCCCTGTTATAAACTTGATCCCTATTACAAACGTGATCCCTGTTATAAACGTGATCCCTGTTATAAACGTGATCCCTATTATATAACGTGATCCCTATTATATTCGAAATCCCTATTATAAACGTGAGCCCTATTATATACGTGATCCCTATTATAAACGAGATCCCTATTATATACGTGATCCCTATTATAAACGTGATCTCTATTATATACGTGATCACTATCATACACGTGATCCCTATTATATCCGTGATCACTATTATATACGTGATCACTATCATAAACGTGATCCCTATTATATACGTGATCCCTATTATATATGTGATCACTATTATAAACGTGATCCCTATTTTATACGTGATCCCTGTTATTAACGTGATCCCTGTTATATTCGTGATCCCTATTATATACGTGATCCCTGTTATTTACGTGATCCCTATTATATACGTGATCCCTATACTATTATAAACAAGAACGTACTATTCTACTGAATACGGAAGAACATATGTCTTAAATGTACGATGATTTTTTGGGGTACATCTATATCAATTTAATTTCTAACCAAATGTTGGTAACAATGTTACCAGACTGACTAACAGTTAAGTTGTCTTTCACTTAATGTAGAGATACACTCAAGTACATTTACACATCGAATCTAACTCATACTCGTGAACGCTCTGTAGTTGACCCTCGCAGTATAAACAAAAGAATATAGAGTATGTTTAAAAGAAAAAGAAATATCAATTTAGAATTTGACAGATAGCTAAAACATATTTATTCAAAGTTTGTTTAAATGTTCGTGTACATGCATATACGATGAAGAACGCTTACATAAGTGATACCTGAATACATTATAAGTTTGTAGGTCAGACATTGTAAGGACAGCGTTTAATATATCGTCAATATACTTAAGCAGGTGACTTTTAAAACATGTCTTTTTCTTTTATTTCTACATGTAGATTGGTACACAGATCCGGCGACATTGTGCTGTACACCAAATTGTCCAGAATAATCTCTCTCTGGTATAGTTTGTGTGGCCGCGTGCATGTTTACAAGCCACCATGGAGGAGAGTGAACCGCTTATAAGTGAACCCTCTATCAGACGCAGACCACGTCATTTATATATTGCCGTAACTCTTCTGTTGCTATCCCTTGCAATGGAACTTTACGGACTGTTCATGACACAGTACGTCTACAAAAGTACAGCGGATAGACTATTTCCTAACTCTTTCACGTTTAACAACAGACACATATCTGTGTGCAGTGAAAACAAGACGTCGGAGAGTTATCGAGAGAGGACGGCCGTACAGCAGACGACAGCCAAGTGGGACATGTACAAGTCTTTAGCGGAGGCGGTACCAGCCGTCCTCACGAACAGTGTCCTTGGCTCGTTTAGTGACAGGTATGGACGAAGAAAAGCCCTGGCAGCTAACCTTACTCTTACCTTACTCGGTATTGCACTCACAACTATTGGGGTGTTATGTTCATTTAATATCTACCTCTTTGTACTTTTTGCTGCCATAAACAACATGGCCGGAGGGATTTATGGCGCGTTGTCTATTGGATTTGCATATGTTTCGGATATATCTGAAGCAGGAAAGCCCAGGGGATTGCTAATCACCTGGTTGGAGGCATCTATTGGACTTGGAATGACTGTGTCAGGACTGGTCTCTGGATATATCATTGAGCAGTTTGGCTACTTCTATACCAGTCTTTCTGCATGTGTAATATTGCTTGTTGCAGTACTTGTGGTGGTGTTTCTTTTGCCTGAATCTCTACCCAACATCACGAACTACACCAGAAACACCACAATACAATCATACACAGACAATAGTACCACCGCTAGTACCAACAGTACTTATGCTGGTGACAGTACCAACAGCACCGATACGGCCGCTAGCAACAACCGCACAAATACCGTTGACAGAAGAACAAACCGTGGAGCGATATATATATGTGAAGCGGCAAAGGCAGCATTTGAGTTCTACTTCCGGCCCTCCAATCAAAGATTCGCATACATCATGTGTGGCGTCATATTTGTATTGGCGTGTTTTTCAAAACTGGGAAAGAGTAGAATTGAGATCTTGTATGCACTTAACACTCCTTTTTGTTGGTCTCCAGTTAAGATAGGACATTTTACCTCGCTTACAGTCGCCTCTACTATGTTTGTCGGTATAGCAGCCATCAAACTACTGCAACGGTTCTTTGCAGAAGAAGTCATCGCCATTTTTAGCGCAATTTCTAATGCTACATCCTGTATTTTAGAGGCGTTTGCATTCAACGATCTGACTATGTTTCTAGGTAAAGGATGATATATATTACTTTATTAAACTTTTTCACGCTTTTTTACCCACAAAAGCGCAACTCACACTGATGCATTTTTTGTCTCTTGCAGTACCATTATTTGCTGTGCTGAGTGTACTTGCAATTCCCATGATGAGAGCTATCCTGTCAAAAATGACGCCCCCTCACAAACAAGGTACATACCCGGAACAGCATTGGTATGACGACATATTAGTTCTATATTACATTTAAAAGTGTACACAACGAAAAAAGAAAAATATGTTATGCTAGAACAATAAAGGATTTTGTAATCTGATAATTCATTTTATATTAACTAGGTTCGCAATCACAATTATGATATCGCTTTCAGTTTAGATATTCTACACCACCAGGTGCTTTGTTTGCGGGAATCGCTGTGATGGAGATATGTGTCAGTGTGATAGCCAATGTCGGCCTGAAGATCATCTACATACACACCATTCAGTCGTTCCGAGGAACGGTATTCCTTGTGTACGCTGCGTTCTCTGTACTCTCCATAGGCCTCTTGATGTGAGTATTACAAAGTCTGTCATACCTTTCCCATCGTAGCTGCAAAAATGTCCTATGCCACGTGGATACCAGTTTCTTACATGGTCAATTAACCAAGAACACATTTAAATGTTATAAGCCATTACACATTAAATAATGACATGATGTGCTTGTTTCTGTAGAGTTTCCCGCTATACAGTCAGACGGTAGGAGGAGGGCCTGGCGAATACTGGTTCAATCCTGAAGAAGACACTATGCAGAGGAGGAGTGGTCTATACCCCTTAACTGTGTCTCTTAGAACGGGCATTACGAGTATGAAAATATCTCTTGTGCTTGTTGGGATGTAAACAATGTATTACCTATATAATAAATGACTCGCGAGATGATCTGTATAAATTAATCAAAGACAACGTGGATCTGACTTGGAGTCATAACAAATATCATCCAGATACAATGTATTTAAATAACTCATATAAAACCAACGATAGAGTAACTGTTGGTTGATAAAATGTATAATAGGACGATTTTACGTGAAGTGTACATTCAATATAAAATATATTTTCGTTGGTTGTTCAATCGGTTCGTTTGACCCCTGACGACGTTCATGTGTACTATCCATGTTGTATCGTTTAACACTTTTCTATTAATATTCTCGGATATAGTTCAACTTGGCATCCTCTGCCTGTGACACCGAAGGGTTACCTCTGAGTGCTGGGCCCGTGTTCATGATACCGTTTTCATACTTAAACTCCGTTCACAACTTGAGGCCCGTTTAGTTGACAAATTATTCAAAAGTTATATCCTTCAATACCTTGAAGGAACTTCGAGACTTTAATTTATCTGGACTTACTTTTAGACTGTGTTGGTGTCATACAGTTTGTTTAGCACAGAATTCATGCCTGTTTCATCCATACCAATACAGTCTCTGGCATTCACCATTTAAACATTCCGGGTTTGATCTACCATATAAAATGACAAGAAAGACATGGATTTTGTTTTCTTATTTGAAACGTTTAATGCGTTGAAAACTAATATGAAACGTTTCTTGATAAGTTGCCGATTAAAAAGTATAATTGAAATATATAAGATGTTTCATACAGCTAAAATGTTTTAAAAACTAGTAAAATAGTAATGCATTACCAGCTTTAGGTACAATAGGTGTTTTTATACTGGTAGTTCATATTACAGTTACGGTCCTCAATGCGAGTCAGCCGCCTGTGACATAAAATAATCACCAGGGAGTAAGAAGGCTATACTGTGATTTATTAATGTTAATGAGAAAGAGATTTGAATTAATTATACGAGTTGAGAGTGGATAATAGATGTAATAAAATCAGAATCACATAGTTTGGAAAATCAATCATGAAGCTAAAAAAATAAAAATACAACGCAACAATAGAAATATATATGTATGGAATAAAGAATAAATATGTAAGATCTACCGCTACGTCTTTCTGCCTTCTAGGCCTAGCGGTAGATCTGACAGATTTATTATTTTATTCTATATTTTCCTTCGCAAGGACTTGTTGATTTATCATCTACTATATTTATATATATATATATATATTATAAAAAGAAAAATTCTTAACAACGAGTCTTTAGTACTTCCATCTCTTCTAGGAGATTCTTCAGACTATGTATTTGAAGTATATGGTTGTTTGGTAGAAAGATCTACCATATATATATATATATATATATTTAAAGTACAATGATGAAATGGCTCGTTGCTAAGCACCAAATATTCAGACATGAAAAATAAGAATTGAATATGTTAATAAGTATGCTAAATAACAATCGCACGTATACTAATTTTGTATATAAAATATTGTAAAAGTCACGACTTACTACAGTAGTATTATGAAATATTTTATACTTTCTACCAAAAAACCATATGATAGGCAAATTGAGCTAATACTGAGTACTTAAAAAAGGCAATCCTGTATGACTGTAAATGGTGCATGTAACGAATCTACTTATTAGGCGTATTAATATGCATTCTATGGATGATGTGTGTACTATATACATCAGTGGTGCATACTAAGTGCTGGTATGATGTGTTTTCTGTAAGGCATATGCCGTAGGGTAGCGTATACTTTTTATGTTACACTCGCATAAAATGTAGAATGCAAGTGGTTAGACTGGCCACCAGTTTTTTATGAAGAATTTCTCGACTGCATTTTACTACTAGTTTATCTCCCCCTAGTTTAGAACTTTGTGTCTCTAGAATCAGAAATCCAAGTGATCAAAATTATTAGAGTTGATTTTTCTTTTTTAAATATTGAATATTCTAGAGACAGTGGCCAGTCTAGCAAGTGGTGTGTGTGGTGAATTTGCTCCGTAGGAAGTATTCAGCTTAGTATTGTGTGTATGGAATATATTATATGCTGTTTATTGCATGTGTATGTGATGTGAAAACCGGAATAAAAAAGTTGGTACAGAAAGCCAAACAAAGTAAACATTTTACTGCATCAATTAGCTATTTCGTCCATTCGGGACTCATCAGTGGTTCTATCAGTCAAACGAATAAAACTCGATATCTAAAGTGTTCCGAAGGCATATAAATAAAAAACAAAATGAAACATTATCCTACGTATTGAATATGTGCATAAACCTGACATTTATTATCCTGTAGGACTATGTATGTCTATGTCAATGCTATGTAGTGCAGTTCCGTCATATCTGTACTGTGTTTTGATAGGCTAAACATTGCCAGGTAGTTCTAATTAGAACCTATTCAAACGAACCGATCCTGAAGAAAAATGCAATATTTACTTTTACATCATGGTAAAGCTAATGAAGGAGAAAATATTTAAGAGTTCCTACGTTAATTCTGTATGTTTTCGTGTTGAGTTAACATTTCATTGTGTCAGAAACAGTTTGCAGTTCCAGTAGATCTCGTCATGTTATATGTCTACATAGGGCATAAACAGTGAAGTGTTGGTCATGACACTTACGCTGAGAAATTTGCATTTAATGACCTTTACCTTCAATAGCTAAAACATATCCAACATAATTCTTGATTTCTTAACTATTAAATGGAACATTCAATCGGTTTTTATATAAGGATTTTTTCGTCATTCATCTTAAATTTCTCTGTTTACGATTACAAACACAGCCAGTGCTTCTCGTGGTAACTTATTAGTATTGACGTCGTGTTCATTGTTAAGAAGTCGAAGATAAAGGATTGTTTTCAAATGCGAATTTTATCCACATGTCTGTGTAGTTATGTAAGAAATTCAGTGAAATATTCGTCGTTCATTGTCTAAAGAAAATCAAGGGACTATAATTACTTTAAGCATAAAACTATGCTGACTATCTTTTGGAGATATGTCTTGTTTGCTTTTAAGATAGTTTTTATTATTTTTATCTATTTCGTTTTCACAGATAATGTAGTACAGATAAATAATAAAACTAAAAACAGCGTTATCAGGACATACATACGGTGGCTCAAAGTAATTGTTAAATTTAATGAGACTTACCTGTAAGTTGAAATTTGATGTCAATTCTGTTCTCTCCTCTGCAGGTACATAGGGGTTACATGAGATGCGTGCGCATGCGTGCAGTCATAATTCAAAGAAGTGAGGTAACACTTAATGTGCACTGGTTAAAACCAGTGTACCAGACTCTGGCAATAACTAAAAAGATCAAGAGATATTTCACTAAAACGTCTCAGAGTTAAAACCTCCACAACGTATATAAACTAAAGACAAAGGGATGGTAATAAAAAGGGTGGGATGTAATCCCTATGTACCTGCAGAGGAGAGAACAGAATTGACATCAAATTTCAACTTACAGGTAAGTCTCATTTAATTAAACAATTCTGTTCTCTTCTCCGTCGGTACTAGGGATCACATGAGATGTTCAAAGAGAGTGTTTCCGAACTGGTAAAATAGAACCAAAAAAACGACAAAAACACAGAAAACCAATTTAACTTGTGTCATAAACTCAACACATAATACATATACATGTATGTAAAACAAACGTGATATCGACTGCACAGTCGCATAAAGTTGTAAACAGTTCTTGTCACTCCATAATGAATGAAACACAAGTAAATGTATACCATGTAATGTCCATATTAAATGTTTTAGGTCTAGGATAGTTATTACAGTTTCCACACGATAATAAGGTACATGAATATACACTATATACATTACATTAAACTGTTCTTTGCAGTACTGTCACTGAGCAATATCTATGGGGCAGGGACACTCTCACTTGGTAACAGTCCTGCTTGTTGTACCAATGGCTTGTTATAAAAATTTCCAAAAACACTAGTGGAATTCCATCCTGCTGGTTTCAGAATAGTTGGAATGGGGACATGACCCCTTGATGCTGCTGAGGTGGCTGCAGCACGAGTGCTGTGTGGGGTGAAGATAGTCATATGAACCCCTGCACTACCAAGGACGCATCTGATCCACCTGGCTATAGTGGCCTTAGACACTGCTCGATGTGGTTCCTGGTAACTTACAAAAAGTTGAGTAGTGTCTTTGCGTATCGTCCTGGTTCTTTCTATGTAAATAGAAAGTGTGTGGACTATACACAGCTCCTGTTCCGCAAAGGCTGGCAAAAGGAGCTCTGCCTGGTGAAAACCAGGTCTGGTCTGTTCAATACATCCCCGAATCGGATTTTAACATTGTCTTTAGTTAATGTCACATTTCGTATATCCACTAAATGCAATTCCTGTGTCCTCTGTGCTGAAAGCAATGCCAACAACACCACTGTTTTCATAGACAGCATTTTCAGTGTAGCATCCTTAACAATTATCCTTTTTATATGTTCCAATACAATCTGAGGATCCCAAATCACCTGGGTTTTTGGTAACGCTGGTCTTAGTTGAAACACAGCCTTCACAAATCTTTTAATAATCGGTAATGTACCTCATGGCTGTCCATTTATAGAAATGAAGGATGATAGTGCAGACCTCACAGTATTAATTGTGCTATACCCTGCCCCTTTGTGATATGCTTCTGTCAAAAAGTCTAAAATAGTTCCCACAGGTGGTGAAAAGGGATCGATACTCCGTCCACCTGCGTAGCCCATCCATTTGGCAATGTATACATCATGTCATCATGTACTTCGCCATGATGACATGATATTGTCTTCAGTCGCTGCCGAAAGTTGGTAGCTTTGAATCGATTTACGGAAAGCCGACAGGCCAGTAGACGGGTCCTGGGAAGATTTTCTTTGACGGATGAGACAATGTCCGATGATCCCTAGGTAAAACAAAAATGCAATCAACAAAGTGCTTCGTTAGTTTTGAAAACCATGATTGAGTAGGCCAATGTGGCACTACCAATGTTACGTCTAGCGTATTAACGTACTCTATCTTTTGTAGAATATTTCCAATTAGTGAAAATGGTGGGAACATATACATGTGCTTGTCCCACATCATTGAAAAAGCATCAACAGTGAATGCAAATGGATCAGGTTTCCATGAAACATAATTTGGTAGTTGCGCATTAAGCCTAGATGCAAACAAATCAAGGTCGGGTACGCCCCAAACATCAGTGATGGCTTTAAAAATCATCGTGTTTAATTTCACTCAGTATTTTCATGATTAAGTCGACTTAACTTATCTGCGTCTACATTTTGTTTTCCAGAAATGTGTGCAGCTGACAACCAAATGCCTCTTTCTATACACCACTCCCATATGTGTTTGGCTAACTCGTTACACCACCCATATTATTAATATAGGCAATAGCAGTAGTATTGTCCAATCTAAGTCTTACATGAACATGTCTAACACTTCCACAGAATGCTAGCAAAACAAACCATGCAGCTTTAAGCGCTAGGAAATTGATATGCTCTAATGCCTCAGTCACTGACCAATTTCCCCCTGTGCTGCTTGAAGTGCCAGCAGTCTCTATGACCCCCCCCCCCCCTCCCCCCTCAACCGATTTTTGATGCATCAGTTGTTAAAAGGATGGTAGGAGACTTTTGAACTATTTTACATGCTGCGTCCAGCAGGTTCTTCACCCACCAATACAGCTCAATTTTAGCCTCTAATGAAAAAGGCATGATTGCATCAAAATTCCCTCTAGCCATTTTTAAGTGAGTTATCTTCTCTTGTTCTAGCTGGCGATAATAGAATTGTCCATGCTGTACACCTGGCAAGGTCGCTATGATATGACCTATATATTGAGCTACTACCTGAATGATGGTGTGTGTTGTATCACGTAATTGTGTACACAGCTGTAACAATTTTGTTTTCTTGCTCTGTGTCAGTGATATTGTCATATCCCTTGAATTGATAATAAACCCTAAATACTCAATAATCTGAGAAGGTTCAAAAATGGACTTGACGGGATGCACCACAAACCCTGCTTGAGCAGAACTGTGTACTGTTTCAACAACATTATGTTGACATTCCTGTATGCTATCCCCCAATAACAATGAGTCATCGATGTAGGATGTACTGAGAAAACCTTTTTTCCGGAGTTCAGCAAAACATGGTTTTGTTATTTTTGTGAACATGCGTGGCGCACACGCCAAACCATTAGGTAGGGCTGTAAATTGGTAATTAGTCCCTCAAATTTGAATCGAAGGAACTTTTGAAAATGTTCATGAACGGGAATGGAATAGTATGCATCCTTCCAGTCAATAGATGCCATAGAGCAATCTTTTGAAAGAAGATTGATTGCGGTTTTCAACGTTTCCATTTTGAAGTGTCTGTATAAAACAGACTCATTCAGATATTTTAAATTGAGAATCAATCTAAATGTACCATCCTTTTTTGGCCTAGTGAAGATATTTGAGAAAACTTCACCCTGGGCTGATTGAACTCTTACGATGACTTGTTTTTTCAACAATTTTTCTAATTCATTACTAATAATAAGTCGTTCCTTCTGACCAAACTTATGTTCGTGATATGTGTACTGTTTGACATTGGTTCAGCACTATTAAATTCTATTTTCAGCCCCTTTCTGATAGTGCTTAAAATAACTGGATCAGATGTTAATGCAACTTTTTACATTTCCAGCTTGAAAATGTTCAACTTTAAACAACATTGTTGTCATATTTTTGGCTAAAAATTGTTGCCAGGCAATAGCAGGTAAACTTACCTGTGTATTCGGGGGCTCAACAGCCTGCAGCGTTGTTACTGTTTGCTGTCCGCCCCCTTCCTGAAGTTTTTTGACTTCTTGTGTGATTGCTGGCCCTGATTGTAGGCCCCACGGTAAGAGTAATGCCCTCGGCCACTGTAGCCACCACGCTCCGACTCATAATACTTTCAATGTGGAGCCTGGTAAGGACAGTACCTCTGGTTTCCGTACTGGTGACCATATCTTTTTTCCCTTGACACTTTGTGTGCCACCCTGTTGGTCTCGTCCATTTCTTTCATGGATCTATGGAGATCGTCTCCAAACAGGTATGTAGTGACTGGCACGGATGACGAGCACAGCGGAGCCTATTGTGCATTGAGGTCAGGTCTGATCAATTCCTTCCTCCTTTGGCTCAGATCTTGCACGGCACTCCCCATCATTGTGACACTGTCCAAAGTGCACTTGAGAAATTTGTCAAGAGTTTCTCTGTCGACAGTTTTATCATTTTGCCTCAGTTCGCACATGTCACTTGCCATTTGTACAAGGGGAGTTAATCCCTTCGCCATTCTAGTTTGGATCTGTTGAAACTTCACATCCTGGCTTTTGGTAGGAATTTTATTTTTTCTCCATACCTCCGGATTCACTCTTGGGCTCTGCAGAGCCTCAATGTTTACCGGACGTGGGTAGGCAGACAATTTTTGTTTTAACTTGTCCTCCGCCATTCTTTTCGTCAGTGCATTGTTCACTAGACCGACAACTGTCGTATCGGTAATGGCGGCGCCTGTCACATTATCTGTGGAGGAATCTTGCTCCATCTCAGTTAAAAATTCTGGCACTTTAGTGTTAGTATTAGTTGTTGCCGTTGGTGTTAGTTTTGGTGCGGCTAGAAGTTGATCAATTTGATCGCACACGTCAACTTCAGACTCGGTCTCCGAGTCGGGTCCATCATCACTATCGGACACAGAGTCACACGCACGCCTATGCTCCGTCAACAAACTCCGCATAAGTTGTGTCTGTTCTTTTGCCTGTTGTTTCATTATGTCCTGCATGGACATAGTGAATCCAGACACTAGTCTTGATAAGGACATGAACTCTGATGAAGTAACATTGGTTGACTCCATCACCTCAGGCACTGACTGGGGTTTTGTTATGGTTTCGCATCTAGGCGTGGCCGTCATTTTCCTTCTTTGTTGATGATTTTATCAACTCCCACGGGAACCTCGGCCCCCTGTTTAGCGGTAGAGGCGGAAGATCGCTTTGTAGTCCTAGAGGCCTCTTTTTTAGGTCCCTCCATTGTGGAGAAAATCTGCCCAACGAGATCAAACTCGCCAACAATTTTTGATGAAGACGGATTATTGTTTGTGGCGGCCATGCAGGCACGCTCCCGCCTCGAGAAGCTCGCCTCCACGGAGGACGAGAAAATCCTAAAACAGGGACTCAACGTCACTATCGGACCAAAAAACGACGACAAACTGTTCTGTAGTCACACTACAAATTGTCGTAACGATCAAAATGCGGCAATAGTGAGTTTTGATCGCCGAAAAACAATGTAAAATGTTTGTGAACAAAGCAACGTGCTTTCAATGACTGTAAACAAACACGCTATATGACTGTACGCATGCGCACGCATCTCATGTGACCCCTAGTACCGACAGAGAAGAGAACAGAATTATATATATCATTTACACGTTATCAGTGAGGAGTACACTTGTGATATTTTATAACATTTATATAATAATAAAATACACAAGTAAGGCTGCACAATAATAACTCATTACGATGCTGAAAGCCAAAGAGTGTCATACCCCACATTAACTGCACATATTGATATTTCAGCCATTTAGGACTTATATATATATATATAACGTTGTAGTAGTGTGGTTTTGTCCCTGTTGTCTAAACTGCTATTAGGGATTGAGGGATAGTACACTATCTACCAAGTTGATAGCAATATTTATATGCGGTATCATGTAGTGTTTTTGTCGGTCAGTGAGATGGCAGTTCAATACTGACACTTCACTAAACATACTTTTGAAGGTTTTGTTAGTACAACATCATTAAATATAGGTGACCAAAATTCAACTTCCTCGAGAAAAAATACGAATTATAATATTCACACCTGGATTTTACTTTCTTCCTTATCAACACAAATTATACCTCCAGAGTTAGTTTCATTTCAACAATTTCTTTTGACAAAGTTGATACAAGTCAATTGGATGGAATAACAGGCAAAGCCTATATAAATTCTCGCCAACGGTGGCTAAAGTAATGGATTCTGTTATATTGGATTTGATTTAATTAAAATACATCAATTTTGAAATGAAAATTATAAACACAACAGTTAAAGGGAGGTAGCTCCTTCTTAATTAACATAACTGAAATACAAATACATTCACAATCCTCACACCACACACTAAACACTTACACAGCTATTTATTTTTATTTTTTATAACATTTTATAAAAGGTATATAGCTATCAAATCACACAGTTATTGACAAACATTGACCAAAAGTCACCAGCAGAGTCTACTACCAATATAAAATTGTATCTGATATAATATGATTCTAACTTGATTTTAAAAACATGTAACACAACGATAGCTAGCGGGTGAACATCGCCTAGCCTCATATCAGTAGGGAATTGACACAGAGGTGCCTGTGTTAGGCATCCACCAAAAATGACCTCTTTATCACATGTCAGGGTACAATTCGTCAATTTCTCTCTACACCAAAGTACATTGTTTATCATCATTGGACTCTACTATTATGATTAAAATGATATTTTCTTTTAAATAATGGAAGCTAAATTTTCTTAATCTGATTCTTTTCACTAAGAAAAGCGATTTAAGTTACCACTACCCCTTATTTTTGTATGCTATTTTTTTTTTTTTTTAACATTTTGAATTAAAAGAAAATTTGTTTCCCTTTCTAAAAAAGCCATAAAAAATGGGGGTACGTGTGCTTTTTTGAGTCTAATTATTATTTGTGTTATTTGTTTTTACCTCAGGGGTCAAAATAAATCAAAAGTGCTTCAGTTATACTAAATTTGTAAAAAGAAATACCAATGATGTATAATTTTCAACTTTGTTGCTTATTATTTTCATAATATTGTAAAATTGTTCAGCAAAAACGGACTTGTTCTAATTAAAGATGGCGGCACAATGACGATTTAAGTGATCAATCTATTGTCAAAAAAGGTAAAAGTTTGTGCTTTCGTGAAGTGCGAGAAAAACACATTTTCAAAAATAGCCGCCGAATTGGTATTTTTTCAAAGTTATGTTAAAAAAACCCACCATGCATCTAGGTTTTTGACACATTTTTCAGATGCGTGTTTGTTATTTGAATTGGTCACAATTTGTTAAATATTACAAAAAAGCTGTTACACTATCTCAAAATGTGATTTAAACCTCAGAAGAATACAGACTTTAATGTTAAATGCTAAGCTAATGTAACTCACAATTATGTTTAATGGTAAACGACTGAACAACATATTTCAGTTTAATGTTTAGTATCTAATGTAACTAAAACTTGGAATAAACACCTAGCTACTCTACTGTACCTCATATTTAGATTGAACTATAAACTACTGTATCTCACACTTGTGTGGAACGCTTAGCTTCTGTACCTAACACTTAGATTTAACGCTAAGCTACTGTATTTCATGATTAGATTGAACGCTTAGCTACTGTATCTCATACTTAGATTGAACGCTTAGCTTCTGTACCTCACACTTAGATTTAACGCTAAGCTACTACATCTCATACTTAGATTGAACGCTTCGTTCCTCTACCTCACATTTAAATTGAACGCTTAGCTTCTGTACCTCACACCTAGATTTAACGCTAAGCTACTATATCTCATACTTAGATTGAACGCTTCGCTCCTCTACCTCACATTTAAATTGAACACTTAGCTTCTGTACTTAACACTTAGATTTAATGCTAAGCTACTGTATCTCATACTTAGATTGAACGCTAAGTTTCTGTACCTCACACTGAGATTGAACGCTAAGCTACTGTATCTCATACTTAAATTGAACGCTTAGCTTATGAACCTCACACTTAGATTTAACGCTAAGCTACTGTATCTCATACTTAGATTGAACGATTAGCTACTCTACCTCACATTTTAATTGAACGCTTAGCTATAGTACCTCACACTTAGATTGAACGCTTTGCTTTCATACCTCTTACTTGGAATAAACACTAAGCTACTGTATCTCATACTAAGACTGAACTCTAAGCTTCTGTATCTCATACTTAGACTGAACGCTTTTCAACTGTACCTCACACTTAGAATTAATGCTAAATAACAGTACTTCACACTTTGATTTAATGCTTAGCTACTGTACCTAACATTTAAATTGAACGCTTAACTACTGTACCTCACATTTAAATTGAACGCTTAGCTACTGTACCTCACATTTAAATCGAACTCTTAGCTACTGTACCTGACACTTTGATTTAATGCTTAGCTACTGTACCTCACATTTAAATTGGACACTTAGCTATTGTACCTCACATTTAAATTGAACTCTTAGCTACTGTACCTCACATATAAATTGAACGCTTAGCTTCTGTACCTCACACTTAGATTTAATGCTAAGCTACTGTACCTCACATTTAAATTTAACGCTTTTTTAGCTGCCGTACCATAAACTTTAATTTCATGCTTAGCTACTGTACCTCACATTTAAATTTATCGCTTAGCTGCCGTACCATAAACTTTAATTTCATGCTTAGCTTCTGTACCTCACATTTAAATTGAACGCTTAGCTTCTGTACCTCACATTTAAATTGAACGCTTAGCTACTGTACCTTACATTTAGATTGAACGCTAAGCTTCTGTACCTCACATTTAAATTGAACGCTTAGCTACTGTACCTCACACTTTGATTTAACGCTTAGCTTCTGTACCTCACATTTGGATTGAACTCTTAGCTACTGTACCTCACATTTAAATTGAGCTCTTAGCTACTGTACCTCACATTTAAATTGAAATCCTTGCTACTGTACCTCACATTTGAATTGAACGCTTATCTACTGTACCTCACATTTAAATTGAAATCCTTGCTACTGTACCTCACATTTAAATTGAAATCCTTGCTACTGTACCTTGCATTTAAATTGAAATCTTAGCTACTGTACCTCACATTTAAATTGAACGCTTAGCTCCTGTACCTCACATTTGAATTGAACGTTAAGCTTCTGTACCTCACATTTAAATTGAACTCTTAGCTACTGTACCTCACACTTTGATTTAATGCTTAGCTACTGTACCTCACATTTAAATTGAACGCTTAGCTTCTGTACCTTACATTTAAATTGAACGCTAAGCTTCTGTACCTCACATTTAAATTGAACGCTTAGCTGCTGTACCTCACACTTTGATTTAACGCTTAGCTTCTGTACCTCACATTTGGATTGAACTCTAAGCTACTGTACCTCACATTTAAATTGAGCTCTTAGCTACTGTACCTCACATTTAAATTGAACGCTTAGCTCCTGTACCTCACATTTAAATTGAACGCTTAGCTCCTGTACCTCACATTTGAATTGAACGCTTATCTACTGTACCTCACATTTAAATTGAAATCCTTGCTACTGTACCTTACATTTAAATTGAACTCTTAGCTACTGTACCTCACATTTAAATTGAACGCTTAGCTCCTGTACCTCACATTTGAATTGAACGCTAAGCTTCTGTACCTCACATTTAAATTGAACTCTTAGCTACTGTACCTCACACTTTGATTTAATGCTTAGCTACTGTACCTCACATTTAAATAGAACACTAAGCTACTGTACCTCACATTTAAATTGAACTCTTAGCTACTGTACCTCACATACAAATTGAACGCTTATCTTCTGTTTCTCACACTTTGATTTAATGCTAAGCAACTGTACCTCGCATTTAAATTGAACGCTTAGCTGCCGTACCATAAACTTTAATTTCATGCTTAGCTACTGTACCTCACATTTAAATTGAACGCTTAGCTTCTGTACCTTACATTTAAATTGAACGCTAAGCTACTGTACCTCACATTTAAATTGAACGCTTAGCTACTGTACCTCACATTTAAATTGAAATCCTTGCTACTGTACCTCACATTTAAATTGAAATCCTTGCTACTCTACCTCACATTTAAATTGAGCTCTTAGCTACTGTACCTCACATTTGGATTGAACTCTTAGCTACTGTACCGCACATTTAAATTGAGCTTTTAGCCACTGTATCTCACATTTAAATTGAAATCCTTGCTACTGTACCTCACATTTAGATTGAACTCTGAGCTACTGTACCTCACATTTATATTGTACGCTTAGCTTCTGTACTATTGTACCTCACACGTAGATTTAACGATGATCTTATGAATCTACCACTTAGATATCTCCTACTCATTTTTTATTACTACTTTGATTAACCTTTTCGCACTTACGAATTGTAGTGTCTCATTAAGTAGATATATGTTTTGCATACTAACGTTGTGAAGATATCATCCACAATTTGGTAACATTACATGATTAATCAACACATGTGAAGTTTAACCAATGTCTCTAGAGCAAACAGTAGGTAGGC